ATTACTGAATGAAAGTTGCGTGAATGTGGTGTCTCTTTCAAAGTCTCTTTCTTGGTGAACCGTGCTACAGGTAACTGAAACCTCAGAAATTGAAACCAGGGAGAAGGCCAGGACTACTGCTGTGTGTAAACAGACTCATCACACTCATTTGACAATTTAACTTTTTTAATGTGATTCCGATATTTACACACGTGCACTATGAATTCAGTAGTTTTTGACTGCCGTAAATTTCCTTTTAGAAGTAGGATGGCACTGTCATTGCAGTGAAAGACCAGTAGATGGCTGTCCACAGACCCACACAAATACCTGCAGTCAAAGTCTTTACAAGATAATTTTAAAAGAGCTGCGAAAATTAGTAAAGAAAGGCTATAGAGATATTGAAAACACACATTTCATAAAGTTGTTAGAAATATTTCAAAAGTTGAAATGAACCTGATATCTAATTCAATGCTTTTCACACTAAAGTCTTCATTTGGCTGCTCGAGGAAATACCTACTTGGGTACAGCCTTCCCAGAGGGCAACTTACTTAACACCAAAGTATTTCAAATGTGCTTATTCTTTGATTAAGCCACCAGAGGATAAGTTATGTAGTAATTGACCTAAGGCATTAGGGAGGAGCTGAACTATTCCACAAGAGTGGCTCTCACTTTTCCCACAGGGACTGTTGAGGATGTCTGGAGACGTGTTTGCTTGTCGCCAGTGGAGGAATGGGGTTGCTCCTAGAACCCAGTGGGTATAGAGGCCAAAGATGCTGCTAAACCTTCTAAATGCATAGCACAGTCCCCCAAAGCAAAGAATTATGTGGCCCCCAAAATGTCAATTGTGCTGAGACTGAGAAATCCTGATCTACCAAAATCTACCTCAGGATAATGTTTATAAGACTGAAAAATGGGAAAACAAGCCTAAATGCCTAAAAACAGAAGACTGATCCAACAAATCCTAAAAGAACCATTGATACAACTCATGACGGCATCGTCATTAAAAGGCACGTTGGCACCCCGCGATGGCTCATGCCTGTAATCCCAGCACTTTGAGAGGCCAAGGTCGGCAAATCACCTGAGGTCAGGAGTTTGAGACCAGCTTGGCCAACATGGTGAAACCCTGTCTCAACTGAAATACAAAAATTAGCCAGGCGTGGTGGCGGGTACCTGTAATCCCAGCTACTCGGGAGGCTGAGGCAGAAGGATTGCTTGAACCTGGGAGGTGGAGGTTGCAATAAGTCAAGATCATGCCACTGCACTCCAGCCCAGGTGACAGCAAACTCCGTCTCAAAAAACAAGAAAAAAGGGGGAAAAAAAGGCATGTTACTAAAGTACACTTATCATGGTAAAATATTCTGAAAATAAAGAGGGTTACCAAACTGTGCATAGAATACGAGCCCATTTTTTATATTTCTTTAAGCCTGAGTGTGCATCTACGATTTGAGGGGCTTCATTTGACCAGTTCCGGTGGAAAGTCATCTTTAGTCCCCGTTCTCCAGTTACACTTTCTCTTGAGCTTGGCAGGGCAGCCACATTGGCCAGAGGTCAACGGCAGCAGCACAGCGGGTGCGTCAATAACAGGCTTTCCAAATTGTGACGGTCCCTTGGTCATCTCTTCCATTGAGTCCATTAAAAAAAAAGTCCAGGAGCAGTCCCAGAACTTTGGGAGGCTGAGGCAGGAGGATACCTTGAGGTCAGGAATCTGACACCAGCCTCACCAACATAGCAAAACCCTGTCTCTACTGAAAATACAAAAATTAGCCAGGCATGGTGGCAGGCACCTGTAATCCCAACTACTCAGGAGGCTGAGGCAGGAGGATCGCTTGACTCAGCCCTCCCACTGCCCCCAGTAGCTGAGATTACAGGCATCCGCCACCATACCCAACTAATTTTTGTATTTTAGTAGAGACGGAGTTTCACCATACTGGTCAGGCTGGTCTCAAACTCCTGTCCTCAGGTGATCCACCCACCTCAGCCTCCCCAAATGCTGGGATTAGAGGTATGAGCCACAGCACCTGGCCCAAACATAACATTATGAAGAGAAATTGAGGGCCACAGAAGCCGCTGGTTTTCAAGAGAAAAATAGGGCCAACTGTTTGAAACTAAAACTAACAAACTTTAAAATTCCCTAACCCCCACTGGATTCCACCTCCTGACTCTAGTAGTCTACTGTCTGCTTTTACAAGTTTGACTTTTTTTTTGATTCCACATGTAAGTGAACTCACACAGCATATGTATCTTTAATAGAGATGAAGTGTTCATCATGTTGTCAGGCTGGTCTTGAACTTCTGGGCTCACTCAAGTGATCCGCCTGCCTTGGCTTCTCAAAGGACTAGGATTACAGGCATGAGCCATTCCCGGCCAGGATTTCCTTCTTTTTTTTTTTTTTTTTTTTTGAGACAGAGTTTCATTCTGTCGCCAGGCGCCAGGCTGGAGGCGCAAGCTCGGCTCAGTGCAACCTCAGCCTCCCAAGTAGCTAGGACTACAGGCGTGCGCCACCATGCCCAGCTAATTTTTGTATTTTTAGTAGAGATGGGGTTTCACCATGTTGGCCAGGATGGTCTCGATCTGTTGACCTCGTGATCCACCCACCTTGGCCTCCCAAAGTGTTGGGATTACAGGCATGAGCCACTGCGCCTGGCAGATTTCCTTCTTTTTTAAGGCTGAATAATATTGATCCATTCAGTCTAGGCACGGTGGCTCACACCTGTAGTCCCAGCACTTTGGAAGGCTGAGGTGGGTGGATCACCTGAGGTCAGGAATTCGAGACCAGCCCGGCCAACACGGTGAAACCTCAACTATTAAAAATACACACACACACACAAAAAAAATGGTGATGGCCATGATGGTACACACCTGTAATCCTAGCTACTTGGGAGGCTGAGGCAGGAGAATTGCTTGAACCCGGGAAACAGAGGTTGCAGGGAGCCAAGATTGCACCATTGCATTCCAGCCTAGGTGACAGAGCAAGACTCTATCTCAAAAAATAAAAATAAAAAACTCAGTATGTATCGTGAGCCAAAGAAACCCATTTATTAGGTGTGTTCCAATTATCACCAAATAAGACAATGCTATCATTTGATGAAAGTTTCAAACATAATTTCCTACCAAGGAACAGAAGACAAAGCCTCAAGAAAGAGCCCTGATTGGCCGGGCGCAGTGGCTCACGCCTGTAATCCCAGCACTTTGGGAGACCGAGGTGGCAGATCACCTGAGGTCGGGAGTTCAAGACCAGCCTGACCAACATGGAGAAACCCTGTCTCTATTAAAAATACAAAACTATCCAGACTTGGTGGCATTTGCCTGTAATCCCAGCTACTCGGGAGGCTGAGGCAGGAGAACCGCCTGAACCCAGAAGGCGGAGGTTGTGATGAGCCGCGATTACTCCATTGCACCCCAGCCTGAACAACAAGAGCGAAACTCCGTCCCGGCCCCCCCCCCCCCAAAAACCTGATTGGAGGGGGTCAGAGCTCTGTCCCTCACCAGTTCAGTGTGTTTAAACAACCCTTTCGGCTCAGAGCTTCAGGTGGAAAGTAATAGGAGACTATTTCACTCTTCCTTCTGCCCTGTATCAAAATTCATGTCAATGATTTCCATATTTCGCCCGGCTTCTTGCTCAGGTGTAGGTGAGCTCATCCTGCGCTCTCTCCCGCTGTGCAGCTCAGCTGACCATTCGGGTTTTCCACTGTACTTGGTCGCCTGTTTGATTATGAACACATGCCCAGTATTAAGAAGACCTGGGGGATCTTGTCCAGTGACTTTATCCAACAGAAAGGAGACAGGTTTCAGGACTGGGTGGCTGGCCGGGTTCCAGGCCGACCACACGCTCGCACCCAGCACAGCTGCGCAGCCTGGCATTTTCGCCTCACTTTCCAAGTGGGACGAGAAGCCATATTCAGGTGCTTTCCAGAAATAGATGTAGATGCTTCTGCTGGACTGGGAAGGCAGGAGCTGAAGTATCACAAGAGGACGTTTCAGGCCATGAAAAATAACTGCGTACTAATTCTAACGTAACGTGTCCAGCTTACGAGAAGCATTTCTGCCCAAACTCATGTCAGTTAAACTCGGAGAAGTTACGACATCCTCAGAGAACGAGTTACCACTTGTTCGGTTTGTGTAGAAAGAGAAATTTGCAACGTAAAAACTAGAGTTCGCGTGCACTTTACGAGGAAGAGGTGCACCAGACAGAGGAGCTTCTCGAGTTTTCGTCTCTCTCGTCTGTTCTCTAGGCCAGGTGGTCATCTCCGCGCAGGCAGGGACCCCACCCTTTGGGACTCCGGCTCCTCCGTGCCGACAGGGGGCGCCCGCTGCCGTGACTTTCCCGCCAACTCCACCAGTGCTCCAGCCCAGCCTCATGCGACCGACTCTAGGGCTCGGGGCCTTTCCTCTTCCGGGGCGTGTGGAACCCGGATGCAAGCATAGTATATAAGCATTGCTCAGCTTCCCCGCCTTTCTCTTTGAGGAAGACGCGGTCGTAGCTACTGTGGGTTTTTAGTCCGCACGCTCCTGCTCCTGACTCACCGCTGTTCGCTCTTGCCGAGGAACAAGTCGGTCAGGAAGCCGCGCAGCAGCCATGGTGAGGCGGCGGGTGGCGGCGGGATTCGGGTTCCGAGCTCGTGCTCCTGTGGGGCACGTGCCGGGGCGTGTGGGCGCGGAAAGACGCTCCTGAAATGGTGGGGGAACCCGGGAAGCTTCCGGGAGACGCCTTTCTCCAGAGGTGGCAGACCACTTCTGGATTACTGTTCTTTCTCTTGTGTTTAACAATAGGCTTTTAAGGATACCGGAAAAACACCCGTGGAGCCGGAGGTGGCAATTCACCGAATTCGAATCACTCTCACAAGCCGCAACGTCAAGTCGCTGGAGAAGGGTCAGTGCAGTCGTTGCGCGGTGAGGGGCGGGAACGACACAAAGCGGCGAGCCTCCCTCGTTACTGTCAGTGTGCAGGGTGGACTAACGCGGCAAGCTGCTTGCTTAAAAGGGTACAGCGTGGCGGAAAACTGCTTTCGCTGTCACAGAGCCGGCGATGAGGAGACACCTACTGTGTTGAGCGACGGTGAAACTTTCATACGCTATTCTGAGCCAGCAGAAGTGGAGGTCTTACGCCGGTTTCCATTATTTTCGTTGAACTGAGAGGTCTCTCTCTTTTTCTGCAGTGTGTGCTGACTTGATCAGAGGAGCAAAGGAAAAGAATCTGAAAGTGAAAGGACCCGTTCGAATGCCTACGAAGGTAAAGTAAATGAGGGGCAGGAAGTGGGCGTTGCTTCTGGATGTTGCTCAAATTCAGGTTCTTAACTTTGAGGGGTTTGGCTGCCAAAGTGGTTAACAGTGATGCTAACTACAAACCCACGTGGAAATTTTGGTAAATGTCGGTACTTAATAAGTAGTGTTTAGATGTGATTATTCCATTGGTGCTGCTGCGTTCCTTGTGTGCTTTGGTGCTGAACAGGCACAAACTCTAGGGGTGGTGTCCTAGCACATCAACCCATGGCATCTAAAAATGTGTTGATGTAAAGTGCAATCATGCCAAAGGGAAAACCTAATGAGATACTTAAAAGTAATGCTTTTCCAGATGTTCTTGGGATAAGTATAAAACCATAAACTTGGTTTCCTTTGTGTTTTGTTACAGACTTTGAGAATCACTACAAGAAAGACACCTTGTGGTGAAGGTTCTAAAACATGGGATCGTTTCCAGATGAGAATCCACAAGCGACTCATTGACTTGCACAGTCCTTCTGAGATTGTTAAGCAGATTACTTCCATTAGTATTGAGCCAGGAGTTGAGGTGGAAGTCACCATTGCAGATGCTTAAGTCAGTTATTTTAATAAAGTGATTACCAGTTGTTAACTTTTGTTGGCTTTTATTCAGAATACTGGCCGATTTTAGGGATACAAAAGTGTGCTATGAGACTTTCACTTTTCAGGTGGAATATATGGTTTATCTTACAGTGGTCTATCCTGTTTGTAGTTTGAATCATTTGAAAACTTAAATATGTGAGACCTGACCAGTTTTATTGGACACTGGCAGTTTATAATTTTGACATACGCTAGAAGTTCTGATTGGCACGGGGTGTTCGTAATACACAGTTGTGATTGAAAACAGTGCACTAGAGGGCAAGTGCTGAACACTAGTAACTGATATTTTGAAATTTACTTAATGTCCTTGAGGAATATAAGGCTGGATAACTTTAACTCTTTCCATGAAAAAAAGAAAAAGGAATAATTGGCAGAGGCAGTAGTAAAACTTAAGTTTTAGGGTTTTGGGAACTAAAACATAGCCTTAAAATACTTTTCACGGTTTTATTTTAAATTAAATACATTTTTATATATGTATATATATACTTTTAAGGTTTTTTTTGAGATCCACTCTGTAAGCCCAGGCTGGAGTGCAGTGGCACAATCTCAGCTCACTTCAACTTTGGTCTGCCAGGTTCAAGCAGTCCTAGTGCCTCAGCCTCCCGAGTAATTGGCAACAGGGTTTTACCCTGTTGGTCAGGCTGGTCTTGAACTTCTGACTTGAGGTGATCTGCCTGCTTTGGCCTCCCAAACTGCTGGGATTACAGGCATGAGCCACCATGCCTGGCACATTTTCACTTTCATAGTTTATTTAAATACTTACATTTTCACTGTTTAGAGACAGGATCTCACTGGGCCAGGCTGTGATAACTGGATTAGTGGTATGATCACTGAAGCCTTGACCTCCTGGGGTCATAACGATTCTCCTACCTTAAACTGCCCAGTAGCTGGGACTTAACCAGGCACACAGCTACTATGCTCAGCTAATTTTGTAGTGGGGGGCGGGGGGTTGCCATGCCCAGGCTGGTCTCGAACTCCTAGACTCAAACCATCAGCCTTATAGTAGCCTCCCAAAATGCTGGTGTTATGGGAGTGAGCCACTGCACCTAGACTGGAATTTATATTAAGATACCCTTACATGTTTGCTTAATTTATTGGGGAAAGTTTCTATAGATTTATTTGGAAATATAACACATCTACAAATTGTAAGATTAAGAAAATTTTTTGATTATTTTTAACAGGACCAAAGTTGGGTGATCCATGTCTGGATTTGGGCCTAGGCTTTCACTCTGAACTCACTCTCTTTTCAAGCAGACCATAAATTTGAGATTTCTGTATACAACCAACTGCATACTAGACACCTGCAACTCGCAGCTGAAAAGCTACATGTCTAAAATGAAATCTTCACTCCCAGAACGTCTCCTGTGTTCTGTGTATCAATCCGTTGTCCACTGAAGTTGCAGGGTTTGAACGTTGGAATCACCCCTTAACCCCTCCCCTACTGCTGTTAAACATGCAATTCCTTTTGAGTCTACTTAGATCTCAAGACAAATCCATCAAGGATTTGAATGGAACTGAGTCTGGAATGAACTATGCCACGTTGCTAAACTTAAATTGTCTTTGGGAGTTTAGGTAGCAGTTAAGATTCATTGATTTTTTTTTTTTTTTCTTTTGCGATGGAGTCTCACTGTCACCCAGGCAGTAGCTTCGATATTGGCTCACTACAGCCTCCACTTCTCAGGTTCAAGCAATTCTGCCTCAGCCTCCCAAGTAATGGGGACTACAGGCATGTGCCATCATGCCCAGCTGATTTTTTGTTTCAGTAGAGACAGGGTTTCACCATGTTAGCCAGGATGGTCTTGATGTGATCTCACCTTGGCCTCCCAGAGTGCTGGGATTACAGTCATGAGCCATGGCACCCAGTAATAAGACCATTTAAAAATTGAGTATTAATATGTGGCCCCCAGATAGAAATACCTATGAACTTTCTGGGCATGGTGGCTCATGCCTGTAATCCCAGCACCTTGGGAGGCTGAAGTGGTTGGATCATCTGAGGTTGGGGAGTTTGAGACCACTGTGACCAGCAAGGAGAAACCCCATCTCTACTAAAAATAACAAAATAGTTCAGTGTGATGGTGCATACCTGTAATCCCAGCTACTTGGGAGGCTGAGGCAGGAGGATCACTTGAACCTGGGAAGCAAAGTTGCGGTTAGCCAAATCGCGCCATTGCACTCTAGCCTGGGCAACAAGAATGAAACTCCATCTCAAAGGAAAAAGATACCTGTGAACTTTTACTAATGCAGCATAGTAGTCTTTGGAGCACATGTGTCTTGAGAACTGATTGAGGAAATAATTCAGAAAACAATGTCAGTGAAGTCCAAAGAACGTACATCGTGGAAAGCATGCTCCAGTAAATCAGATAATAGTGAAAGGACAACTTCATAGCTTTCAAGAAATTCTGAATTTGAGCAGCTGTGTTTTTTCGCAAAGGTGTTGGGGTTAAGCTATACCTAATTGAGAATCTATTACAGCTAAAATGGCACTTAAAAAATTGAAACTGCTGTTCAATTCCTCAAACATTTAAAAACACCTATGTGGAAATAAAATTGCAGGGCATTTGAATATAGGGAATTAAGGATAGAATGGTGGTAATGATGCCAATACTATGAAAGTGATAGGCCGTCTTGTATGGGTGGAGAGTTAAAGGAAGGTTGAAAATAGGACGTCTCTCTGCTGCTTACTCTATTTGGTTTTACAGAGTACTGCTTCTGGTGTAGAAATGTGAGCCAGCAATATCCAAGGGAACAGAAACCACCATGGCTGTTCATTGCTAGGTCACATTTCTTTTTTTTTTTTTTTTAATTAAGATGGTCTTACTCTGTTGCCCAAGTTGGCGTGCAGTGGTGCGATCATGGCTCAGTGCAGCCTTAAACTCCCTGGCTACTGATCCCCCTGCCTCAACCTCTCAAGTAGCTGGGACTACAGGCTTGCACCATGACGCCTGACCTAGCTAATTTCTTTTGTGGAGATAGGGTCTCCATGTTGCCAGGCTGGTGTCGAACTCCCATAATTAAGCGATCCACCCTCCTTTGCCTCCCAAAGTGCTAGGGTTATAGGCGAGAGCCACTGTGCCCAGGCTGGATGAGATTTATTCACATGACATTCACAGAGTGTTTGTGTATATGCTCTGTGGATGTAAAATGAACAGGCAAGAGTATAGAAGTAGAATCTCTAGCCATGCAGTCAGACAGATGGCTCCAAAATTAGCTGCTTGGTTATGGGGACTTGATCAAGTTACTTGACTTTGAGCCTCAGTTATGTGCCAAATGAGGATACTGATAGTATCTATCTCAAATACGTATATGGGTGTTCACAGTCTCGCTGGGAGATATTTTCCAAACAAACCAAGACTACTTTGCTAAGGGCATAGATTTCTCTCACTGGCAGAGGATGCGCTCTAGCTGGCCCGTGATATTGGATTGAATTACAGTGTTTTCTTGGTATCTGGTGGGGCATCAGGTCAGTACCTCTCTTGGATCCCAAAATTGAGGAAACTCAAGTTCCTGGTGTAAACCGGCATAGTATTTGTATATAATCTCTAGACATCCTCCTGTATGCTTTGTCATCTCTAGATTACTTGTAATACTTAATACAATGCAAATGGTATGTGAGTAGTTGTTGTGCTGTAATTAGGGAATAATGACAAGAAAAAGAATGTCTATACATGTGCAGTAGAGACAGTTTTTTTCCCTGAATATTTTTGATCTACAGTTGATTGAATCTACAGATGCAGAACCCATGGATCCAGAGGGCCAGCAGTACACTTTGAGAAGTGTATTTCAATCCCCGGGGACATTTCCTTTTTAACTGCTTCCTCCTCCACCAAAAAAATGACTGAGCAGGTGTAAGTGGAGAAACTGGCAAAGCTGAAGTGTTTTCCTATTTTTGTTTTCATTGTGCTTCAGTAGATGCAAATGAAATTTTATCTTTTGAAAGTAAAAGGAGCTGCGGCCAAGTGCGATGGCTCATGCCTGTAATCTCAGCAATTTGGGAGGCCAAAGTAGACAGGTCACCTGAGGTCAGGAGTTCGAGACCAGCCTAGCCAACATGGTGAAACCCCGTCTCTACTAAAAATAGAAAAATTAGCCAATCATGGAGGTGGGTGCCTGTAATCCCAGCTACTTGGGAGGCTGAGGCAGGAGAATTGCTTGAACCTGGGAGGCAGAGGTTGCAGTGAGCTGAGATTGTGCCACTGCACTGCAGTCTGCGTGATAGAGCTAAACTCAGTCTC